GGGGGGGGGGGGGCCCCCGGGGGCCCCTCTGGGGGGGCCCCCCCGGGGGCCCCGGGGGCCCCCAACGCTGCAGCAAACCCTTTTGCTGCTTTTGGGTCTTTTGATGGTCTGGGGGGCATGGGGGCCCCTTTTTCAATGCCAGTGACGGACACGAGGCCCCCGGAGGAGAGGTGGGCTGCTGGCGGCGAGGGTTTAGGGTTTAGGGTTTAGGGTTTAGGGTTTGCGGCTTGGGGCTGCGCGCTCAGGGATTGGGGTCGAGGGTTTCGGGTTTAGGGTTTAGGGTTTAGGGTCGCGCCCATGTTTCGGCGACCCGCTTTTTCCGCGCCGCTGCCGCAGCGCCAGGGTTTAGGGCTTAGGGTTTAGGGCTTAGGGTTTAGGGTTTAGGGTTTAGGGTTTAGGGTTTGGGGCGTGCTTTCAGGTTTGCCTCGCAGCTGCAGTCGCTGACGGATATGGGGTTTATTGACAGAGACGCAAACATAGCAGCACTTCAGGAAGCAGATGGAGATGTGAATGCTGCAATTACGCGTTTGTTGGAGCGGGGTTTGGGAAATTAGGGTTTAGGGTTTAGGGTTTAGGGTTTGGGGTTTAGGGTTTGGGGTTTGGGGCTGCGGCCGCGACGGCGAGAGTCCCGGCCGAGGCTCCGGCCGAAGGCGTTTTCGCAAGGGCGAAGAGGGCCTGGGGGCCAGGGCCGAGGGTTTAGGGTTTAGGGTTTAGGGTTTAGGGTTTAGGGTTTAGGCCCGTCCCCCCTCAGTTTATCCGCGCCCGCAACGCAAACGCCTGTGCACAGGAGCATGTAAGGCCTTGGCCTTAAAGTATATATGCATTTATATTTCCATTTCCATTATATTTATATTTATTGAAATAAATCTGAATTTATAATTATTATAAATGTGTATATGTGCTGAAAGCACTTGAGGACCTACACGTGCACTTTGGCCGAACGCACAAGTGCTCAGGTGTATGTACACCTCGCATGCATGCACCAAGACACTGCAAGTGCTGCAAATCTCTTTTTTGCATTTCTGCATTTTCTACTTTCTGCACATTCTCTGAATTGCGTGCATGCAAATTCATTAAAGTGCTCAAACCCTCAAACCCTGAAGGGCGGCGGTTGAAGTGTTGCAGTGTACATACACCACAAATTGAACGGCAGATGCTGGTTTAAGTTTTCCAGGTACAATCCACACGCCAGGGTCTAGGGTTTAGGGTTTGGGGTTTAGGGTTTAGGGTTTGGGGTTCAGGGTTTAGGGTTTACGGGGGGGGTTAGGGGCCTGGCTGCCAAGGGCTTAGGTGGGGCGGCTCAGGGTTTAGGGTTTAGCGGCTTCGGCGGATAGGGTTTAGGATAGGCGGTCGGTGGATAGGGTTTAGGGTTTAGAGGCCTGGCAGTTCAGGTGGTGTTAGGGTTTAGGACGTGGGGCTCCAATGAACGAATAGGGTTTGAAGTATTTAGGGTTTAGGGTTTAGGGATTAGGGTTTGGAGTGAGGTGCTTTTAGTATTGCCTCTTAGAGCCCGAAACCCCAGGCCCAGAAGGGTTAGGGGTTAAAACCCTAATTTAGGTTTTGGGGGAGCTGCTGCTTTCGTCCTTCCTCTTGCCACTTAGTTAACAGTCTTTTCGCAAATAAAATTAAGATAATTTAGTTTGCAAATGAAATAAAAATGAATTTCGTACAGAGGGAGAATTTAAAAAGGCAAAGGTCGAGGCGGTGCTCTTCAGGTGTACAGACACCTCAAGCGACTGCACGGGCGCCAGCGGATCCGCGAAATCATTTCAAGTTCACTTCTTTGCCTTTCACTTGAATTTAAAAACAATTAAATCATTTTATTTCAGCATTTTTATTTAATAATACCCTTTTCTTCCGCTGTTCTTGGACGATCCCGGTGGAGCCCGAGGGGGCCCCGAGCACTGGGGGGGCCCCCAGCAGGAAATGCCGGGGGCCCCCCTGGGGCCCCTGGGTATCAGTTCCAGCGCTTTCTTCTTTATGTGGTGTTCTCTTCTTTATTTGGTGAAGTATAAAACCCTTTTTTAGATCTAAATTCGAAACCCTAAACCCTAAACCCTAGGTTAGGGTATCGAGCCACCGGAGCTTGCATTTCGCACGTGGCAAAGACCAAAAACTGATTTTCCTTCCTACTTGCAGAATTTAAAAAGTTCATTTTCTTTTCATTTTCAAAACTAACATCAAAACCCAACAAATGAGAATTCCCCGGGGCCCCTGGGCCCCGAGGGCCCCCCTGGGGGCCCTGGGGGCCCCCCGACTCAGGGGGCCCCGGGGGGCCCCCCCCTCCCTCTGTGGGGCCCCCCACCTGGGGGGCCCCCAGCGGGGGGCCCCCCACCGGGGGGCCCCCCAGGGGCCCCTCCAGAGGTTTGGGGGCCCTCCTGTGCTGCTTCAAACCTCCTCGGGGGCCCCCAGAGGATCTGATCGCAATTTGCTGCTGCTGCTGCTGCTGCGGCGGTGTCACAGTTCGAGGTGTACGTACACCCGGAGTTGTCACCCCACAAGCTCTTCATATCGAGCTGCTGCTGCTGCTGCTGCTGCTGCTGCTGCTGGGGCGGGTGCCAGCAGCAGCATCCACACCTGCAGCAGCAGCAGCAAAAGGCCCATCAGCAGCAACAGGAGAAGCGTGCACAGCAGCAGCAGCAGCAGCAGCAGCGACAGCAGCAGCAGCAGCAGCAGCGACAGCAGCAGCAGCAGCAGCAGCAGCAGCAACTGGAGCTCTGTTCCTGGTTTGCTGCAGCTGCCAGGTGTCGATACACCTGAGGCTTTGCTGCAGCTCGCGCGGCAGTGCATGCGCGACTGCAGCAGACTTTTGGAAAAGGAGAAAAAGGAGTTTGAAAATGAAATAAAAAAAGAAATTAAAAAAGAAATTAAAGAAATTAAAAATGAATTTAAAAATGAATTCAAAAATAATTCAGAAAACAGACAAAAACAAGCTGTACAGACACTCGACGCCGTCAGCAACGCACTGTGCAAAGTTGCAGACGCCGCAGAACTCATCAGGTTCGAAGGGTTTAGGGTTTAGGGTTTAGGGTTTAGGGTTTAGGGTTTAGGGTTTGCAGCGAGGGTTTGGAGTAGGGGGATCATGAATTAGGGTCTAGGGTTTAAGGGTCAAGAAAGCATGGAAGAAACCTCAAACACTCACCGGCCATTTGTCAAATGGGGTGGCTACGTGCAGCTTAGGGTTTAGGGTTTAGGGTTTAGGGTTTAGGGTTTAGGGTTTGCGGGCGCAGGAATGTTCATCCGTTGCCGGAGTGGCAACAGGCCGGAGACCAAGTGGTGCAGGAGGTGCAGCACTTCATGAGCGTGGCGAACTTCAGCGACTCCGTAAACCCTAAACCCTAAACCCTAAACCCTAAACCCTAATCCATAAACCCTAGGGACTGCGTCCTTTTTAGCTCCGCAGAGCGCACGCTTCACAAACCCTTGGCGGTCTGAAGCTTATTAGGGTTTAGGGTTTAAAGCTTGGGGTTTGGGGTTTTCAGATATACGAGAGACTGCGAGAAGGAGCTCCAGCCCAAGCTGAGAGCAGTGGAGAGGAGCCGTGAGTACTCGCTAAACCCTGAACCCCAAACCCTAAACCCTAGATCCTAAACCCTAAACCCTAAACCCTAAACCCTGATTTTTCCGTGCAACTCTAGCTGCATGCGTTCTCGCACGAGGCAAGGCTTCTGCATTCCGCACTGGTGCTGCGCCATTCCGGAAATTGCTGCGTTTGCTGCTGCTGCTGCAGCTGCAAGCCTGCAGCACCTGCAGCACCTGCTGCTGCTGCTGCTGCTGCTGCTGCTGCTGCTGCTGCTGCACTGACTAAGGAGGAGGCCGTGGTGCTGCGCTGCATGCGCGAGGCGATGGAGCAGCAGGGCGTACACCTCAGCAGCAAAGAAAAGGTGAGCAGCAGCAGCACGAGGTGTACAGACACCCTGCGCAGCAGCAGCTGCTGCTGCCGTTGCTGCTGCTGCTGCTGCCGTTGATGTTGCTGCTGCCGTTGATGTTGCTGCTGCCGTTGCTGCTGCTGCTGCTGCTGTTCGTATTGCTGCTGCTGTTGCTGCTGCTGCTGCTGTTGCTGCTGCTGCTGCCGTTGCTGCTGCTGCTGCAGCAACTGCTGCTTCTCCAGCAGTTGCTGCCACCTGCGTAGCAGCAGCTGCTGCAACTGCTGCTCCTGTGCGCACTCTTCTGTTGCCACATCCGCAAGGGCAGCAGCAGCAGCAGCAGCAGCAGCAGCAGCAGCAGCAGCAGCAGCAACGCTCTGGCTAGCTACGCAATCCGCAAGTGCCTCAAGCACTTTAATTGCCATTTAATTAATTGAATTTATTTAAATGCCATTTAAAATTAATTTAAATTCTTCTCGACAAACTGACCCCACACTTTCGGGTGTACGTACACCTCAGGAAAGCCTGCTGCGCCTCCTCGAAGAAGAAAGCCAAGCAGCAGCAGCATGTCTTCAGGCGCAGCAGCACGCCCCCCGTGAGACGCAAACCCTAAACCCTAAACCCTAAACCCTAAACCCTAATGCACGGACTTGCCTTTCAAAACAGACGGACCTGCAAAGACCCTTACTGCCTCAAGCCTTGAGTGGGGCCCCGCAGGGGCCCCCCAGGGGCCCCCCAGGGGCCCCGCAGGGGCCCCGCAGGGGCCCCCCAGGGGCCCCCCAGGGGCCCCCCGAGCCCCCCCAGGGGCTCCATAGGGGCCCCTCAGGCGCCCCCCGGGGGCCCCACAGGGGCCCCACAGGGACCTCCGACGGGCCCCACAAAGGCCCCATAGGGGCCCCACAAAGGCCCCACAGGGGCCCCACAGGGGCCCCCCTGGGGCCCCACAGGTGCTCTAGAAACCCTATAGGAAGCTCACATGAAGGCAAAAGTACCTTCAATGGAGCCTCTCAGGGCCTCCATAGGGGGCCCCTGTAGGGCCCCTAGGGGCCCCTGTGGGGCCCCTGTGGGGCCCCCCAGGGGCCCCCGTGGGGCCCCAAACTGTGGGGCCCCCAGGGGCCCCACAGTTATCTCACGAGAAACCTCCAGGATATCCACAAGAACTCCCTGTGGGGCCCTGTGGGCCCTATGAGGCAAATGTGGGGCCCTGTGGGGCCCCACAGAGGGGCCCCTGGGGGGCCCCTGTAGAGCCTTGTGGGGCCCCGGAGGGCCCCTGAGGGCCCCCTGGGGGGCCCCTGGGGGCCCCCTGGGGGCCCCCTGGGGGCCCCCTGGGGGGCCCCGGGGGGGCCCCTTGGGAAGGCAGAATGTGTTTCTTGGAGCTGCTTTGGGAGCCTCATTTTGCTGCTGTTGTGTTTATCAGAATTGCTTTTAGTGGTTAATTTTATTTTTAATTTAATTTTAATTTGTTTATTTTGTTTTTCTGCTTTTTTAGAAATGGAAATATCAGTGGACACACTTTTAGCAGCAGGAGTGCCTCCAGGAGTAATTGCAATGCGCACGGCTGAGCTGCAGCAGCAGCAGCAGCAGCAGCAGCAGCAGCAGCAGCAGCAGCAGCAGCAAGGGTTCTTCTCTTTGTGGGGCCGCAAGAAGAGCAGCAAAGTCAGCACGCTCACCATTTCGGCAGACGACGAATTCACAAAAGTCCTCCTCAGGTACCGACTCCCTAAACCCTAAACCCTAAACCCTAAACCCTAAACCCTAAATTGTGTTTTCAACTATTAGTCCCACAGACTGAGCCCCAAACCCTTATTTTTTTGCAAACTCTCAGTGCCGGAAAGCACCTCTCGCCGTACAAACCCTAAACGCTAAACCCTAAGCTCTAAACCCTAAACCCTAAACCCTAAACCCTAAACCCTCGGGCTTCTTGCTGCAGCACAAACTGTCCTTTTCTGCTGCCTTAAAGACTGCGAGTTTGCTCTTGGCCTTTCCGAAAGTCGAAGAGAAACTTTTGAAATGTTTTATCATTTTATTAATTTAATTAAATTTAATTAATTTAATTTAATTTAATTTAATTTAATTTAATTTAATTTATTTTATTTTATTTTATTTTACTTATTTATTTTATTTTGATTTGACTTCCAAAAAGGACTTGTGGCGATTCCGGGCTGCGGAAAGAAATTCATTTGTTGACAGAAAGCGACAGCAGAGAGGTGAGTTTTAATTTAATTAATTTAATTTAATTAAATTAATTTAATTAATTTAATTTAATTAATTTAATTAATTTAATTAATTAAATTTAATTAAATTAAATTAATTAATTCAATTTAAATCAGTTTAATTTAATTTGATTCTTATTTTTGGTTCAACTTAATTTAATTGATTTAATTTAATTTAATTTAGTTTTATTTATTTGAATTTATTTTTTCTTTTTCCAAAATTTGCTCTTTTCCGCTTTTCCCTTTTGCTGCTTCCTTTCTTGTTCTGGATTTCCAATTAATTCTTTTTGAATTTAAATTAATTCTTTTTAAATTTTAATGAATTATTTAACCACATATCAATTAATTCTTTGCAATATTCCATTAATTGTCTCAAATATCCATTTAATTCTTTTTAATTATTTAATTTTAATTCAAATAAATTAATTTTAATTCAAAAGTTCTCTTTTTGCTGCAGGCAGCAGATTTCAACTTTCTTCATCTTTTGGCCCTCAGGCAAAAACTGGCCCGCAGCAGAGGCTTCGAGTCTTGGGCAGCTTTTGCACAAAGGTGCAGCTTGCTGCTGCTGCTGCTGCTGTTGCTGCTGCTGCTGCTGTTGCTGCTGTGCTTGCTGCTGCTGGTGTTGCTGTTGCTGCTGCAGCTGCTGGTGTTGCTGCTGGTGTTGCTGCTGCTGGTGTTGCTGTTGCCCCTTCTAGTTGTTGCTACTGCTGTTGCTGTGGCTGTTGCTGCTGCTGTTGCTGTTGCTGCTGCTGTTGCTGTGGCTGTTGCTGCTGCTGCTGCTGTGGCTGTTGCTGCTGTCGCTGTGGCTGTTGCTGCTGCAGCTGTTGCTGTTGCTCTTGTTGATGCTGCTGTCGTTCCTGCTCGTGTTGCTGTTGCTGCTGCTGTTGCTTCTGCTGCTGCTGCTGTTGCTGCTGCTGCTGCTCCTGCAACTTCAGCAGCGCTTGTTGCTGCTTCTGCTGCTGGTTTTTTCGCTGCTGCATCAGCAGCAACGAAACATGCTGAGTACATATCTCGGAGCCTAGGGTTCGGGACAGCATTTAGGGTTTAGGGTTTAGGGTTTAGGGTTTAGGGTTTGCGTTTGCGGGCCAAGGGAAGGCATCTTGCGAACTCCTGCTGCAGTATCGACATTTCTGGAGCGAATTGAGTCAGCGCTGGAGGTGGGCCTAAACCCCAGCCGCCAAACCCTAAACCCTAAACCCTAAACCCTAAACCCTAAACCCTTATTTGTTGCGTTTCTGTGGCCACTCAGCTGCCGCTGGAGCGAGAGCTGCAGCAAATGAAAGCAGCAGCAAAACTGCTTCCAAACAAATTTAAAATAGAAGGCGAAATAAACCCTTGGGATGTTCCTTTCCTGATGGAGTGCCACGCGCTGCAGCAAGGACGCAACAGGCAAACCCTAAACCCTAAACCCTAAACCCTAAACCCTAAACCCTAAGCGCTGCGCCACAGCTTGCGCAGACGCAGCTGTCTCTTTCCAAGTTGAGTTTGACTCAAACTCAGAACCTTTTAAAATAGCTGTTGGAGTTTTGATCAAGGGCCATGGCTTGAAACCCCAAACCCTAAACCCTAAACCCTAAACCCTAAAGCGTGCTTTGCCTAGCCAGGTTTTGTTCCCCTTCGCCAGCCATGGTTGCCCACCAGTGATTAACTGAGGCTTGGGACTGAGAGGTTTCGACTTAGGGTTTAAGATATGGTGCGCAGGCTTAAGGGCTTAGGGTTTAGGGTTTAGGGTTTAGGGTTTAGGGTTTGACTTCAGGCCTTCTGAGCCTCAGCGACTAAGTCTTGAAACTGTCTGGAGACGGGCAGTCGAGTTGTTGGAGAAGATAACGGGGTTTACGTTGACGCCAACTCTTCCCGCCCCAGGTGAGTCGAGGGTTTAGGGTTTAGGGTTTAGGGTTTAGGGTTTAGGGTTTAGGGTTTAAGGTTTGGAGATGGGGGCCGGATTGGAATGCTGTGGACGGCAAACGCCTTTAGCCAGCAGTTAAGGCCATGATGCGGGCACTCCAAGACATAGGTTAAGGGTTGAGGGTTTAGGGTCTAGGGTTTAGGGTTTAGGGTTTAGGGTTTAGGGTTTGCGGGCCCGCTGCAGGCGAGACTTGGCACTGGAGCGTTCTTAAGTTTGAGCTGCGCCCAATCAATAAGGCTGGGGGGGCCCCCAGGGGCCCCTGGGGGCCCCTGGGGGCCCCCCAGGGGCCCCCCGGGGGGCCCCTGGGGGCCCCCCGAGGAACTCTTTATGTGGATTTGTGGGCAAGGAAGGACAAGACGCGGCTGCTGGCCCAATTTACAATAAGGGGGTCGAAGCAAATGGACTACCCTTTGAAGCGAGTGCGCCTAGGGTTTAGGGTTTAGGGTTTAGGGTTTAGGGTTTAGGGTTTAGGGTTTGGGGGCCTCAGAGTTCCGGGCTTGTGAGGTAGGTTTGAAGCGCTGCTGAGCTTGAGAGAAAGGCGGCACCATTTGCACCTGAGAGCCGTAGGTGGAGGGAAGCCCTAGGGTTTAGGGTTTAGGGTTTAGGGTTTAGGGTTTAGGGTTTAGGGTTTAGGGTTTGGCCTTCAGGGATGGGAGTTGGGGGGCCCCTTGAGCCGCGCATGCGTCGTTGAGGACAACGGCTGCCTCCGTCAAATTCCCTGCTGCGCTCTTGTCTCTAATTTCGCCCCCCCAGCTCGTTTGTCCAATTCCGAAAAAGGTAGGGTTTAGGGTTTAGGGTTTAGGGTTTAGGGTTTAGGGTTTAGGGTTTAGGGAGTTGTGCCGCTAAGCCCGCACGCAGGGAAGCTGTGCTTTGCTACGCCCGTTGTTCCGCAGCTTCGCTTCAGGCCTGGAGCTCGCGGCCGAGTTGATAGGGTTTAGGGTTTAGGGTTTAGGGTTTAGGGTTTAGGGTTTAGGGTTTGCGGCTCAGGGGACGACGCAGAAGAAGCGCTGCTGCTGCTGCGCGACAGCAAAATAACAGAAAATGAAAGTCTTCATTTGCTGCACGAATTGGGCCACGTGATTCACGGCCTTTTGTCTCGGACGGAGCTGCAGCACTTGTCCGGCAAGCCGCCAAACCCTAAACCCTAAACCCTAAACCCTAAACCCTAAACCCTAAACCGTAGGCGCTGGGGCGCGCGCAGTCGCCCCGCCTGCTTTCGACGCCGAAGAAGCCGAGGGTTTAGGGTTTTGCTGCTGCTGCTGGTGGTTTAGGGTTTGCTGCTGCTGGTGGTTTAGGGTTTGCTGCTGCTGGTGGTTTAGGGTTTGGGGCTGCGGGCAGGGGTTTGCGGTGTACGTACACCTCAGGCACGCGCGGGGCCGTGGACTTCGCCGAGTTTCCTTCTCATTTATTTGAATTCTTTTCTTCAATTATATTTCGAAAGTCTTTCGACTCTTTTCCTCAAAACCCTGAGGGTTTTGCAGCTTTTCATTTGGCCCACCAGCTGCAGCTGGCTCTGCTTGACCGGGTCCGCCCAAACCCTAGCAAACCCTAAACCCTCGCAAACCCTAAACCCTAAACCCTGAACCCTAGGCCCCAAGCAGCCGTAGTAGACTCTGAGGGGTGGGGATTTGCTGCAAGCAGCGCACGCGTTGCTCCTGACTGTCGCCGCATCTGAAGGTTGAGGGTTTAGGGTTTAGGGTTTAGGGTTTAGGGTTTAGGGTTTGGGAAGCGGGTGAGGGTTTGGAGCTGCGTGCAGGCGTTTTACAGCTACTCTCCGAACGAGGGTTTGCTGCTGCTGCCGGAGGGGGGTTTGTCTGGAGCTGCTGCAGCAGCAGAAATAAAAGAATTAAAAAAATATTTAAATTCTTTTTTTTCAAAAAGAAAAACCCTCGGAAGGGTTTTTAATTCCCTCTCGGGGGGCCCCCTCTGGACCCTCGTGGGGGTTCCCCCCTTGAGGGCTTTCGAGCACTTGGTGCACTACGGGGGCAACTACTTCTGCTACCTTTTCTGCAGGTAAACCCTAAACCCTAAACCCTAAACCCTAAACCCTAAACCCTAAGCCCTAAGTCTGGCCTGCCTCTAAGTCTGCAAACCCTCAACCTGGATCCGGGCGGCCTAAACCCTCAGCCCGAGACCCGGCACTGCCTTTAAGTCTGCAAACCCTAAACCCTAGAAACCCTGGACCCCAGTAACCCTAAACCCTGCCAAACCCTAAACCCTAGAAACGCTGGATGCGAGCCACCCTAAGCCCTCCTAAACCTAAACCCTAAGAGCAGGGAGAAAAGGAAAGGACCAAACAAGGGAAAGTGAATCTGCTGCGCAGAGTGCAGCAGCTAGGGTTTAGGGTTTAGGGTTTAGGGTTTAGGGTTTAGGGTTTAGGGTTTAGGGTTTGCGTGCGGGGGTTGCATCAGGTGCACCTCGAGCTACGTGTGGTTTCGAGGGTTTAGGGGAGAAGGGGGCGAGGGTTTAGCGAGTTTGCCTCTCGTGGATTTGCTAGAAAAAGGATCTTCAAATATTTCAGCTTTTTCAATTTTGAATTTATTGAAGGAAAAAGAAAACCCTCAAAAGCTCGACGAGCTGTCTGTACACCCCGAGAGAATGCCAATCCAGTTCCTCCTCAAGGCCGCCCTTTCACACGCTGTCTGACCCAAACCCTAAACCCTAAACCCTAAACCCTAAACCCTAAACCCTCGCTACACAGCGATGCTGGCTTTTTAGTTCCTTGTCCTTCCAGAGTTGTATTTAATTTTTCAAAATCATTTGTTGTAAGCAGTTGTTAGGAAGTTTATATTTATTTAAATAAATCCATTTCATAAAAAAATAAATTTGCTTGCATATGCCTCTGCGGCTGCAATTTGAATTCCGGTAATTTCAATGTGAACTCTAGGCCAGCGCGTCAAATTTGTCACCTAGGGTTTAGGGTTTAGGGTTTAGGGTTTAGGGTTTAGGGTTTGAGCGGCAAACGCCTTCGTCTCAAGCGCAGCACAGGGTTGCGCAGTGCCGGCTCGTATAGAGCATGTGCTGCAGAGTTTAGCGTCCTGAGGGTTTAGGGTTTAGGGTTTAGGGTTTAGGGTTTGCGCCTGCGGTTTAAGCTAGCTAAATGCTGCAACATGTAAATTGGGATCGAGGGTTTAGCTATATAGGCTTTTGCGGGGCCTCCAGTTGGTGAACAATGTGCGCATTGGGAGATCTTTTGGGCGGGGTTTAGGGTTTAGGGTTTAGGGTTTAGGGTTTAGAGTTTGAGCGATGAACGCCTTTGCTTCTTCTTCGCTCATTTGAAGACGAAGTACGTGAGAAACTCAATTAAATAAATTAAAGAAACAAAAGTGAAAAGTTTAACAACAGAAAATCGCGAAAATTGGATTTGCGCTTTCTGCACATTCCTGTAGAACAGTGGTCAAGGGCGTCGGGTGTACGTACACCGCAGTGCGCGCGCGCGTGAAAGCGCGAAAAAACGAAAAAAGGAAATTCAAATAAATTTAAATTTTATCCCTGAAGTATATTTAATGATAGCGGTTCTAAAGAAGTACTATGCTTGCAAAGAGACCGCTGGTTAGGCCTGAAACCTTGCATTCTTCCCGGTTAGAAAGGGCTGCTTGGTTTCAGACTAAAGGCCAGAAAAGCAAAAGAAAGCGCCTTTAAAGCTGCTCCTAAGCACTTGAAAAAGAAGAGGATTTCAAAGAAAGATCGCAAATTTCATTTGGCGTTCGTTTAGTGTTCTAATTCAAATAGTTGAATGGCGGCGACACACTTGAATGAGCCGCTGAGAGGCGAAGTGGAAACCTGCATTAAAATGGCACCAGCGAGTGATTTTTAAAAGCTATTTTGGAATATTTTTGCAATTTATTTCGAAAATTAAACACCAATAAAGGGTTTTTAGATTTTTGCTTCGACTTTCCGCAGAGGACCCGCGCGAACATTGAACACGCAGCCCCGGGAGAGGCGGGCAGCATCGGCCTGCAAGTTGCGCGTTTTTGTTGCTTTTTGGATCAAAAAAAAGCCGCAGGAGTTTTAAAAAAGATTTATTTGATCTTTTAAAAACACAAAACCCCAAAAAGGAGCAAAAAAGCAGACCAGCCTCGGCCGGTGGACATGCACAGCGAGGCTCGACTAGCCGGCCTTCCGCGGCTCCCTGGCCTTCTACTTATAAAGCCCCCCCATTTCCCTCTTATTGCCTTTATTGACTTTTCAATTTAAAGTCCTTTTTCGCTTTTCTTTTCTTCTCCGAAGTCCGGCGGCTTCTGGCGCGGGTGGCGCCGGCTCCCGCGGCGTTGCGGTGTACGTACACCTGGCGACGGCGCCGCAGCAGCAGCAGCAGCGCAGCAGCAGCAGCGCAGCAGCAGCGCCGCACAGCAGCAGCGCAACTGCTGCTGCAGCAGCTCCCGAGGCCCCCGCTGCTGCTGCGAGGCCCCTGGGCCCCGGAAGCTGCAGCAGCAGCTGCTGGGGTGTCTGCGGAGCTCCCGAGCTGTCTGTACACCGCAGCGAGCTGCGCATACACCCCAGCGAGCTGCGCATACACCCCAAACTGCAAACCCCACAGCAGCAATGGCGGGCCCCATTTTGGAGAAGGAGGGAAGACAAAGGTCTTTGAAGGAGCAGCAGCGAAAACCCGAAGATGAGGACTCCGAGGACAACCAGTCCCAGACCTCCGAGAGTAAACCCTAAACCCTAAACCCTAAACCCTAAACCCTAAATCAGCGTTTCGCGTTGCCAGTCCTCCCGCCGCCGCGGCGAGCGCAGGCCGCGTGCAGACCCGCCTGCGCGCTCGAGGCCCGCGGGACGCAGGGGCCGGGCCGGGGGTTTAGGGTCTAGGGTTTAGGGTTTAGGGTTTAGGGTTTAGGGTTTGCAGGCACTGGCGCGGAGGCCGAAGCCCGCGGGCTGCTGCAGTACGGCAAAAGGGCCAAACAACTTTCTTGGGGGGTTTTGCTGGCTTACGCGGCGCCCATGATAGGCGCGGGGGGAATGAACTTCACTCTCACCACTTTTGCTGCTTACTTCTACACAGATACCATGGGCCTGCCCCCCGGTAAACCCTAAACCCTAAACCCTAAACCCTAAACCCTAGGCGTAGACCCTAGGCATTAGGGGGATTGAACGCCACTCTCACAACTTTTGTGGTTATTTTTATACCGACACTATGGGGCTCCCCCCCCGTAAACCCTAAACCCTAAACCCTAAACCCTAAACCCTAAACCCTAAACCCTAAACGCTATACTCTAGGCCCTCCCGCAGCCGCAGGGTCACCTGTCGTGCTGCGCATTGATTCCCGGGTTCCCTTGCTGCTGCTGCTGCTGCTGCTGCTGCTGCTGCTGCTGCTGCTGCTGCGTTTGCTGCTGCTGCTTCCCCTGCTCCGCCTTGCCTTCCGGCGCTTCCCCTCCTGCTGCTCCCCCCCCTTCCCTCCCCGCCTCCC